CTTTCTTTCCCTACTTCCATCAAATAATATGACACGTGGTAATAGATCTGACTCATCATTTTGCTTTCGGGTAGATTCGTCCAATAGACAAGAAACTTCAATACCAGATTCAGAAGCTCACGAGAGCTGCTGGTTCTATCTCAGATGCAACACAAAAGTCTGAGGATCTCTCGAAGTATCGGCCAAACCCTGACATGCTTATCAACAAAGCTGAGATGGCACCAGAGGTTATACCCCTATTTTCCCCCTACTTGTCTGTAGAAATCAGCTGGCCATAATTAACCATTAAATACTTTGTGTTTGTAATGTAGGACGGTGTGTATCAACCTCCGAAATTTGCTCCAATGTCTATGGAAGATGATAGGACGACAAAACAGGAAAGGAATGCAGCTAGAAAGGAGAAACACCTTATAAGACAAGCGACAGAAGGTACATACATGAAAGAAGTGATTGATGAGCTCGAGGATAGACCTGAAGAGGTAGGTTTTGGCTGCTTCTCTGTTTTGCAGGAATATGATTTAGAAGACATGATTGTGATGATCTTCTAACTGAGCGGCTGAATTCAGATAAGAGACGTTGTCGGGGCTGAGAGCAAGGAACTGAAGAAGTTCAGAGCGCAGTGGGAAAGACGAGAAAAGATGGAAGAGGAGCTCTTTGCTCGTGCTCCACGTACAAGGGAAGAGAAGAAGAGAGAAAAGCACTTGAAGAAATCTCGCAATGGGTACGTTTGTTTGGAGACGAGCTTTTGGTCTATATTCATTGTGTGATCTGAACCCGTTATGTTTTTTTTTTAAATATGCTTGGATTCAGGTTACTGGGTCTGACTGAGAATTTCTACGACGACATCAAGTTCTTACCAATGGGGGATAAAGAAGGAGGACAACCAACATGCATTGGTGATAGCAGTGGTAAAATGGGAAGAAAGCTCAAGAAAAGAAAGGTAGCAGAAACAGATGTTCTTTCCCAAAGTCACTGCTTCCGTCAATTCTCTTTGGAGTTTGACGATGCGTTGAAGATGTGGACAACACAAACTCGGATATGCTCTGCATTTCGCCAGCTTTGTAAATATTCGTCAGATACATGCGTCGTGACAAAACTTTGATCTCAGTAATAGTATACGTTTAGATTGCGTGCATCTGATTCTTTGTACCTTCTAGAATTTTGATTTGACAAAGTAACTAACAAAACCAAGAAAATATTGCATCTCTCTCTCTCTCCCCTAGATGACAAAAAGATCAAACCTTTAACACCAAAAAGCCAAACCCACGACCACAACAACAATGTCTTAGTCTCCCACTTGGGCTTTCCTCCGATCCCATCTCCCGGCAGCAGAGGCTGAGGAGAAGGAAAGATCAAATCTTTTGCTCCTATGGGGTTTTGGTTCGTTAAGGTATGTATTTGTACAACGGCCTTAGCGCAGGAAAACTTGCAGCATCATCATCATCACGTGATCACCAGAAGTTTGGAACACAAACACTATCAAAGAAGGATGGTGAAATGATATACTAAACTTGAAATCCTTTGATGATTGTTATTGTCATTATCTGGACGAAAGCATATGTATATATGTTTCTATGTATATGCCCCCGAAACAAAATGGTTTTCTACAGAGGAGAAGCATTCTACATTTACTAAAAAGAAACCGATTCAAATGTACATCACACACCCATATGAGAGATGATGAAGAAAACTGTAGGCGATTTTCCAAAAGAGGGCACCTTTCCATAATATCGCCATACCTGATCTATCCACTCAAAGAGGCCCCTCTACCCTTTTGTTGAATCCAAAAATTTGATGCAGCCTGTTTGTTTTTTCTATGAAGAAACTCCAAACTCGGATTCTCTATCAGAGCTCGGTTTTCTCTCTTCGTCGATGATATGAAAAGATGGGGTTCTCCTCGAGCTGTGGCTGAGAGGATCGTATTTCTGAGAAGCTAAGTAGTTAAGGGCCATTACCACATCGGATATCACTGGTCTCATGTTCGGCTGTTCCTGAACGCACATTGCTGCAATCGCTAGGGCTTGGTACAGTCCCCTGATTGGGTATTGTCCCTGGAGTAACGGATCTACCATATTCGGAAAGTTCCTCCGATCTTTGAACAATGGGCGTGCCTGAAAATTTCGTAAAATGAATCGGGTTAAGTATACGGTAAGGAAGTCCTGAAATGGAAAGTATTGATACAGTTACCATGAATGCTATCAGCGAAAAAGATTGGAGCTTTACGTGGATCCCATGCAGTATCGGGAAAATTAAAACATCTCGTTAAAACAACATCAGCAGCAGATCCAGTTCAAGGAAGGATTCGAGATAAGATTCATCATCCCAAATCAGACCAGATAAAACAAGCACCATATAACCAGAGAGAGTGAGATATCTTACCCATCCAACCAGATTCTGCTCTTTACGCTCTCTCGTATTATCAATCGCTTTCCTTCCGGTGATTAGCTCCAGAAGGACAACTCCGAAACTGTATATATCTGACTTGAATGTGAGCTGACCGGTCATTGCATAATCCGGGGCACAGTACCCATATGTTCCCATAACCCTTGTGGAGACATGGGTTTTATCCCCGCTTGGACCAACTTTGGCCAAGCCAAAGTCAGACAGCTTTGGATGATAGTCTTCACCAAGCAAGATGTTCGAACATTTAAGATCACGGTAGATGAGAGGAGGCTTCATTCTGTCATGCAAATACTCTAATCCCCTCGCTGCACCGGCCGCTATTTTCATCCGATTGTTCCAATCGAGTGGTTTTTTACCAGGATGGAGATCTGAACCAAGCCAAGAGAATGAAGAGTTAAATCATGACAAAGAAAGGATATGCCATTAGTACTGGGAAACTTGGGTGAGTAGTAACATTAGATCATAAAAGATAGACCAGGAGAAATGCCGAACAATTTACATCAAATGACGGATTCATGATAAATAGCTAAAAAAGGAAAATCTTTTTCCAGTCTATCCTTTGGGAGCGCGGAGGGATAGTGCTAACCTTCGGTTGAAAGGTAATGAGCACTACCCTGCACCTCACACAAGATCATCCAACTAGTGGACAGGCTAGGGATCAAACCCATTCCTCCATTTGACCTGTCCTACCCAATCAACCGATCAAAACCCAAAATTTACGTAGAAAATGTGTTATACAATGATACTTCGGCGTAATAATAGGGCACACGTCGCTTCTTATTTCGTAATACGCATAAGAATAAGAAGAACAATCGAGTTGAAGTAAAAACATACCATGCAGATGATTTTCCAGAGATCCCAATGGCATGTACTCGTAAACCAATAGTCTCTGATCACCCTCAGCACAAAACCCGATTAGCTTCACGAGATTTGGATGGTGAGCCAGACTTAATGTCAACACTTCGACCACGAATTCCCTGACCCCTTGAAGCCCATTCCGGTCAAGTTGTTTGATAGCAACAGCCTATAAGAAACCATTCGCCAAAACCGATCAAATTCTCTGATAGCCAAAACACACAACACAGAGAAAAGTCTCGAGAGCTAGTTAAACTACCTGATTAAGTTTCTCAAGGGTACCCTTGTAAACTTTACCAAATCCTCCTTCACCCAAGAAACAATCCGGCCTGAAGAATCCGGTAGCAGCAACCAGTTCTTCAAAGGCAAAAGTCCGTGCCTTTTTACCATTACTATTCCCATTCTCTGTTACTTCATCATCTAAATTCAAACCCTTCACGTCCAAAGCCAATTGATCCTCCTCAGCGTCTCCTTCTTTTACATCTCGATATGGACTGACCTTCGTCGAATCTACAACACATCAGAAGATACACATAATTACATAGCAATCGAACAATTTCGAGACGAGTGGTCGAACTTTGGAACAATTACCTATTAGACAGTCGATAGAGACATATAGCAACTAGAATTTGAATATCAAACCCAATATTGAGTTATCTCTGCCACTTGAGAATACAAAATCCAGATGCCAGAACACTCTAACGTACAAACAATTAACTGGATTAAAATCAGACGAGCAGACGTAAACCCTAGACACGTAAAAATAAAAGCACCGCAAACAGCAATTTTGACTGAGATCACTCGATACCTGAACTCGGTTGTGTCTGATCGTTGCGCTTTTCGCTCTTACCGATGTTGTCACCACCGACAGTGTTCCCGTTCTTGCTCGTATCGTTGTTATTCTTGTGGTTACTCTCCGATCGTTTGCTCGATTTCCCGATGCATCCAAAACAGCCCATCACGAATGATATCAGAGAAGTCGATGAAAAAATTCTGGGTATCCCTTTTCTTTCCCTTATTCCTTTCGAGAAAGAAAAAAGAATCAAGAGAAACGGAACCCCAACACGGGAAATCGAAGAAAATGATGAATTTCTCTTCGGAAAATAGAAGAAGAAGAATCACAGAAGAGACGAAACAGAGAAAGGAAGGAAGGGAGAGAGAGTGAGAGAGAGCTTGATTTCTTCGCGTTTTTTATATTGCGTAATTAATCATTTTTTTAATATTAACGTAAAAAACTATCTTCTACGACAAGGTTCACCGTACATCTTTATTTTCGTCCATTCAAAATACCGCCACGTCGAACATAACCTCGGTCAACGTATTTTACTTTGTCGCTTACCGTCGGTTTGATTACAATCACGGCGAATTGAGGTGGCCCACCATGATTGGTCAGAAAGATTTGGTGCGGCTGGCTATTAACACACCTGATTTCTTACTCTCCTCATGAATTACGAGTATTATAATAAATTCATTAAAAATATATTTAAAAATGCAATCAACTAGGACAACAGAAAGCAATGCACATTTCCAATAAACGTATACGCAAATTGAAATGTACAACGACTTAAACCAAAACCCTTTTCCGTCAAAATAATGAAATTAATTTTAAACAAAATCAATTATAAATAGTATAAATTAAATGCATGGAGAAGAAAATAGATGAAAGAGTTTGGGACGCTGTCACAGGGCGGTGACGTTGGCATCGACGACGGCCACATAATAGCCGTCGGATATATTAAAAAAGAAAAGGCAAAGGTCAAATACACTGACGTCACGGTGGGGCCCCCAGTTTTTTAAACTCCACGCGCTTTTTATTGCTCTGCCCAAACTTTTCCTTTTTTGTAATGTTCGAGCGGTGATCCACGCGTTTCAGCTGGCCCCGTTGTGAGGAAGAATTTTTGTCAAACAAATTATATTGTGCCACGTGTACGACAAATTAATGCCTACAGGTAATTAATTCACCCGTCTAATTTTGTTAAGAAACAAAACCGCGGTGACAAAATAAATATAAAAAAAATAACCAATAATTTTAAAAAAAAAATACAGCGTCATTAGGAGAAGCCATAATTTCGAAATAGAAATAACTTTATTTTAAATTAAAGTTTGAATTTATATATATATAAATGGCTATTAACTTGTTTGTGATTCACTTGACTATATTGTAAAAAAAAAAGTATTTAACTCATTAATAGCTAAGAATTCAACCCAAAAAAAGTTTTCGAAATTTCATATAGATAAAAATAATAATAAAATTTACTTTATAACAAAGAATTTATAGTTTCGTCTGTCCAAAAGCGGTGTGGTTTTGCTGTAACCGAGGAACGACGACTGGAGGCTGCGAAAGTGAATAAATCTGTAACACCCCACCACTTTTTTTGGGAATTTCCTACGAAATTACACATCCCTATTTTGTATTTTTTTTTTTTAATTTTGTTTCCACTTTAAACCACATTTCTGTTAAACAATTTCCTAATTTTTTTATTTAATATTAAATGAAATTCTTTTATTCGTATATTCGTGAGTTTGCAAAATGAAAATTTTATTTCCATAAAACCGAATTTGAAACTCTTCGCCATCATCGATCGTTTCTTTTTCTTTTCTGAAGAATTTTATTTTATTTTAATATATATATATATATAGATAATTTGTTTCATCCCACTTTTATCGGAAAATAACAAAATGCATAAAATTGGTCCTACATGTACATATTAATATAATAGTTTATTTCGGCTCATAACCGATCAAAATTCGAAGCAAAAGCAGCCAATATTACACGCATAAAATTAGGACGTGTTCACGGGATAGATGATATTTGCATATTTTTAATAATAAATTCGCAAATCATATTATAACAGTGAAAATGACGTTGACTATTTATTCTATGTATAAAAAAAATGTGATCTTATTCGATTGGAATAATGCGAAAAATATCCCATGAACAAGAAGTAGAAATTGTGCCAAACAATCTCGTTCATTAACTATGGTCGGTCCACCAAAATGTATAAAATAATCGCACATGATTTCACCCGGGAAAGCTCCGTACAGTTCGAATTCGGAAGATTTAAAAAGCTCATGTTTATTGGTTTTATATTTGGGCTCAATGGGCTATTATCAAGGCCCAATAATAACCCTAGAAATGGAATCAGCGTATATTTCTATAAAACTCTCCACAAAACCCTAATTCCACCTCCGTCTCTGGGGTACTCTCAGGCCGTCGAGAATGTCGAAGCGAGGTCAGTTCATATTGCTTCTCGATCTTGCTTGTTTTTCTTTTTTGTTCGCATGGATTTGAGCTTGTCCACTTCGTTTCATTTTGATAAATGAAAAAACCGAAAAAGAAATTTAATTTTTATGAAGTGGATTTCTGGATTTGAGCTTTGCGTGCTGTTTCTTCGTGCACATCTTTGGATTATGTTTTTCGGTTTCCCTGATAAGAACATATGTTAGGTTGATGTCTTAGAACTGTTGAAGACTATACAATGGTGATTGTACAGAAATTGGTTCGGCTTAGAAAACTTCATTGCATTATGTAGTTTTGATACCTGTCTCCGTAATTGGAGATATCAGCTTAGGACTTCGGCAAATGATCATAATCCCCAAGTAGAGCTACTGAATTAATGATAACGAATATATCACAGATTGTGGATGGTTATGGATTGTGTAGGACGCGGGGGGACGTCTGGAAACAAGTTCAGGATGTCACTGGGTCTGCCAGTGGCAGCCACGGTGAACTGTGCGGACAACACCGGGGCAAAGAACCTTTACATCATTTCGGTGAAAGGTATCAAGGGTCGCCTTAACCGGCTGCCCTCCGCTTGTGTGGGAGACATGGTGATGGCCACTGTTAAGAAGGGTAAGCCTGATCTCAGGAAAAAGGTTCTTCCTGCCGTCATAGTGAGGCAGCGCAAGCCGTGGCGCAGAAAGGATGGTGTCTACATGTACTTTGAGGGTATGATTCTCATTGTCTCAACCATGTCCTTATGCTTGTTGTTGTCTGATGTTCAGGAGCTTACAGTGCTAGACCTTAGTTGGTATTTGTTTTTTTCGTTGTAACGTTGTGGTTATATCTGGGTATTGTTGCCTTTTCTCTCCTTGTAATTCTTACGGTATGTTATTGCCAGACATTAGTCAGGTATCCACCTAGATATATTGAGAGGTTGATACTGTTACAAGTCTGGTAAACAAACTGTGTTCATCGTTACGGATGCTTTGGCGCTCTCTACGCTTGCATCCGTTCCATTTGAGCACGAAATATATTGGAATTAACTTGTCACTCTTTATTCTGTTGTTTTACTCTGTTCAATCAGCTTAGAATCTTTTGAAACCAAGTTGCTTGATAAACATTCTTCCTTCCGTTGCAGACAATGCTGGAGTTATTGTAAACCCCAAGGGAGAAATGAAAGGTAGAATATAACTTATAACTCTCGAATCTTCAGTTCTCTACTCCTATGGTTCTTGTGTTTTTGAATCTATTTTGACCATAGATTAACGGATGACACGGGCACTTTTGATAGGTTCTGCCATCACTGGACCCATTGGAAAAGAGTGTGCTGATCTTTGGCCAAGGATAGCCAGCGCCGCAAATGCCATTGTTTAAAAATCCTTGATAGAACTTGCCTTTGTTGCCTTGGAATGGTACTTTGTTCAGTCAGGAGGGATAGAAGTGGTTGAATGTGAACTCTGGTTGTTTTGGCATTTGAGCTTTTGGTTCATTTAATTAATGGTTGCAATGGTCGAGACACGGTTCTACCCGTGATATCTTTTTATTACCTTGAATCATATTGCTATACTGCTTCTGGTTTGTGCGGCGTAAATGGTCGCCCATGCGTTTATAATCTATGTTACCTGTATCAGTTGGACAAGTGTTCAAAACATCATTTAGACGTGGACCAGAGCCTTTCATAGGGGTCACTAGGTCACTACTCCAAGGGAAATTTAGCAAGAAATAAAGAAAAGAACATACACACCAACATACATACATGATTACATAGAAGACACCTGAGCGTGAAAATATGAACCTCACAAAATGCGCATCAAGATCAACGCTTTAAGATTAAGATTCAGTAGATCAAACATCTTATAGTCTTATTGTTTCTAATAGAGTTTTAAGACAAAACAACAACACCGAAATAAATATTAAAAAGTTGCCAAAAAATCAGCAGCCCAACCAGAGACATGTCTCACATCACATCAACACATGTCTTTACTCCCAACAGGTTCCCCCCAAACAAGTTTCTTTACATCAGAAGATTTGGTAACAGCACAAAAAGATTATCTGACCTTCTTTCGGGTTTAAGTCGGTAGAGAAGGCCCTTCAGGTAATCTTTCCTTTCCATGGTTTGAGTAACTTGCAGTAGCTTCTCCTGCACAAGCAAGAACCATAAAACTTGTTCAGTGTATAATATCACATTTTAGTCACAAACACAGAGGGAACTTGAAGCAATAAGTAGCAAATCAGTAACCTTTTGCTCGGTTACCGAGTACCCGGCATGCTGCAAGTCACCACAATGCCTTTGTAACAGGCAGAGGGGCGATTACACAAGCAGAGAAAGAGCAGCCAGCCACAGTACCACAGGGAGTTTTAGTCAGTCCAAAGGACAGTTCAAAGGGAAATTTCTGTCAAAGGTTAGTCTTTGTGAATCTTTGGTTTTGTTCATGTTTATGCAATAATTTCCCAATACAATTATTTGTCTACAGGTGAAGATTTCCGGCGGTGGTCGGTGCAATGTGACCAATGGGCATTTCAATGACAATGGGGTGAGCAGTTTTAAGAACGAAAAAGAAAAAAAGCTTGAAACTTTAAGTTTACCATATGCCTCTTCACCACGGAGTTGATTGATTCAACTGGATTTCCCAGGATTCTTGTCTAGTTCGTCGGTAACTTTTGCTTTATATCGAATTCTGATTGTAGAGAATGGCAGAGAATTACCCTCGAGGTAATAAAGAGCTCAGAGGTTCTTTCTTCAACACACATGGTCCGGCTGATAGCATGGAGTTCCCCTGAAGGTTGGGTTTTTGTAACATGTGATTGATATTATTCAGATCAAAATTCCTTTTTGAATTGTCATGTAAATGTCACCTGAACTAGGCATCTGAAGAGCCGAACTTTCGTAGTTACCATACAACTTGTTAAAACCCAGACTCTCATTTCGTAGATGATCTGCCATGTCCAGCCTCTTTCCACCTTGGATGCTGTTAGTCCACCCGTACTCGTAATGACCATTTGACCAGAGCATGTTTCTAGACTGTTGAAGAGAGAGTTGCACAAATGGAGATGCTAAGCTACTTCCTTGAGATTGATCAGTTAGCCTTGATGGCGTCCCAAGAGGATTGCTAAGGGACAGGTTGCCATCCGCATGACCTGGGAATCTGAAGTTCTGATGTGAAGATAGAGGGTTCTGCATCAGCAGTTGTTGAAGTTTCGCCCCGTTTTCAAAAGTGCTTACATTTCCTGGAAAGCTTGATCTCAAATCTAGACTTGCATTCTCAGAGCCGGCTTGAAATCTTCCTTGCCCAACCGCCAAAATGGCAGGATCCATAAGTTCAATATCCCCAACACCACCGATGTTTTCAACTGGAGGTGACTGGTATGAATTTCCCGGCAACGTTGTTTCAAAGAAACGGTTCCCTGCAAGTAGACATCAACAGATTCAGACTACCAAGGAATAGGGACATAGGTGATGGTACTCGGAAAAGCAAAAACAAAAAGGAAAATCTAAACCACCTGATACACCACCAAACGTCCGCCCCATTCTCCCATTTGATGAGAAGCCCGGGGGAGGAGATCGACTTGGAACTGAAAATCCAGGTGGTGCTGAAACCGGAGTTCTTGAAAGAGCTACAAGACAAAAAAACATTTTACAGAGAAACTCGATGAAAACCTACCGAAGAACAAAAAAATTTCCGGGCAATCATACTTTCAGGACACATTATCCTGGGAACAAGGAGATAGTCATAGCCAAGAACAGGATAGAGCTAATAACAGTAATTATTCCCAAACAGTACAAACATGTCCAACAGAAGAACTAAAAGATATTCTATACTGTCAGAGAAAAAGACAACACACGTGCTGAAAACCCTGGCATGCATGACGCATCTCACATGCTTAAACCGTGGTTAATTATTAAGAAACATTGTTCTGATTGGAAACGGGAGAGGATTGGGAAGTGATGACATCCATATCCATGAGGACATTTGTATGACATCCCCTTAAAAAAGCAACAACAGCTCTATGAAGAAATCAAGTTGGTTGGGCGACTCATTCTAAAGAAACACATGACTGAAGCTACAGTCCCAGATGCATTTCATGCTATAAACATATCATAAATGCCTAGAGATTATGGATAAAAAGGATGAGCAATTGAAACACGCTAGAAAGCTTACCAGACGAGGATAATGCTGTATGCTCTGTAATGGAATCAAATCCCTTCAGATAACTGGACGAGAGGCCACTGTACATTCCAAGCTTCTCTATTTGAGGATCCCACCTATCTGCAGAATCTTGGTAGAAACCATAGCCATGTGACATCTGGTTGAAGATGCTACACGACTCGAAAGATTGATCCTTAGACTCCTCTTGCCTCGCAAAAGAAAACCTGGATTGATTATTCTGAACTTTACAAGAATTGGAAAGCTTAAGAGACTTGGTTTCTTCCTCCCTTGCCCCCAAGAGCTTCGCCAAGTTATGAGGTGAAGTCAAGGATTCATCAAGATCCAAGGACAATATATTTGCGATTATGCTGTCATCTATTGTACTAGAAGACTTTCCTTGTGATTCAAGGAAACGGTTTCCAATCGGTTTTGTCTCTCTTCCATTGTCCGGAAACCAATTCGAATGTTCAAGACGGCTGCCATTCACACCAGAGGCCCTGACAAGTGGCTTATCAATATATCCATGTGAGATACGTGACGTATCATTTCCTATACCATCAAAAGAGGAGGGAACAAACACACTGCCATTTGAAAAAGACTGCATATGATTTGCCACATGCATCAAACTAGCTGAATGGGCCATATCGGCTGAACAGCTAACAACCTCTGGATCCTTGAGTCTTTGTCTATTGAATGATAGTATATCGTCATCAATAACAGGACCTGCACCCGCCACCAATGGAAAAACCACATCAGCACCTATATCCACTCCTGCTCTTGCCAATGTATCCAGTCTACCAGAATTCTGCAATGCCAAAACTTCCCTCTTCTCCTCAGCATAATGCTGCTGGGACACTTCCACACAAGGTGAATTTATGGAAGAATGATAAAAAGAAGAGCTATCAGATCTTGTTAACCCATGTTGGTCATCCACAACACCCTTGTCTGCAGTCATTGAGGTAACCTGGCTGGTTAAGTTCTGCATTCTTCCGTTAGCTTCTTTGTTTCCATCTGAAGGCATGGAACTACAAGACTGAGAAGTATGTTCTAAAAATTCTGTACAATTTGATGGCTCACTAACAACTCTACTATCATCCACAGTTGCAGACACTAATGCTCCTTTATTACTGCTCCGGGTTCTACCAAGCACGGAAGGCTTTTCAGGCAACTCAGTTTGAACATTCAAAAGAGCTTGCTGTTTCAAAGGGGTAGATAACTCATGTTTCGCATTTCCATGTGAGGTTCGATTCCCCTCTAGAGCTGGCTTCTTTGATACATCACTATGAGAAGCGGACATCTGAATTGAGTTTGTACCATTTCCATGAGAGGTTTGAAAATCTTCTAAAGCTGGCTTCTTCAATACATCACTATGAGATATGAGCATCTGAGGAGCGTTTGCAGCCACAGACAGACCACCAGGTTTTTCTTTCAAGGGCTCGTTTAAACAGCCAGAAATTGGTACTGGAGCTTGGCTTGAAGACCGCATTCCCCTGAAAAGTGAATGTCCATATTAAAGACCAAGCAACCGAGCAAACAAACCAAGGCCACACACAAGAAAACAAAATACCATGAGGCTCCAGCAGGAAGAGTAACAGCTTTGCCAGTGCTGCCGTTTGGAGGAGAACTTTTAAGAATGCTTTGCGTGTTCTGCTAAGGGAAAGAAGGAAAGAAAAGAAATGAAAAAAAAAATCAAAATAAATTTATCTCTGAAAATATAAAGGCCTGCACCACATCCTTAACAATAATGTATAAAACCAACACAATCCAGTGGTACTAAGTGAGTAGGACTCTATAAAAGAACCTCAAGTTGAATGTAGCTTACGTTAAGAGCAACTTTTGGGATTGGCTTTGTGCTAGAACTATTATTGCCATAATCATCCATCGGTGGAGGCAACATACTCCCTGCTCGACGCTGCAAACTATTTGTCACACCAGTAATTTGTTGGACCTTACTCCTTTTAACACAACAAAAGAGTTAGTTAGCCACCACATAGAAGCACAATAGATTGGGAAGAACAAAAAACAGATGCAAAATCAAATCCTTGCTACTATTAAGACAGGTCAAAGTTCTGTGAGCCCCAATTTATGAATAAATGAACATGCAAATTTATAAATGTCCATCAGATACATAATTAAGACAGCTGTGAGACACTTCAGTAGCAACTATTCTGTAATACATGGTACTACAAATCTCAGATTTGACACACAAAAGCATCAAACAGAACCCTACGATCAGCATTAAAGAAAAATAAGAAAGTTGGAAATAAAGAGGTTTGGGGATCAAATTTGCTGATTTACCTCATGTAAGCTGATATAATCTCATCTTTTGTGAAACTATCCTCCTGTGAACCAACCTCATGCAAATAAAGGCAATCTGGATTGGTGCAAGGCTGCACAACGAAAAGAATATTAAATTAATATCAGGAAAATTACTTTAAGCGCTTAGAAGGAATCTAGTGAGCAAAGGCAAGAGCATGTCTGCTTACCACTTTTCTTAGCCATGCATGACAGTATTTAGTTGTACCAAAACAAGCCCTAAGGAAATAAGAAAAACATTAGAAGTCGAACAAAATCAAAACATAACAGATAGTCGAGAAAAGGAAACACCACATACTTCAAAGATCTACCATCCAAAACAAATCCATGTACAGCCTGGATACATCTAATCGCTTCCTCTTCTTTGGAGTAAGTAATATATCTGAGCAATTACGATTTTACAGGAGACAAGGAAAAATATAAGGTTAGCACATAGACCAAAAAACAGAAGAGGTTTCCATTACACAAATTCAAAAAAAAAAAAAAGTAGCACATCATTATCATCTAGAAAACATTGATAAAATATACTAAGTATCCGGATACGTACACACTGCAAGTATTGTTAGGAAATTGTTGGACAACCCCAGCTGCAGTTCGAGACATTGATACCTTTAGAACTTTCCCATATTGACCAAAGTATTCTTTACGCTGGAGAAGCTGCAAAATCCCAAATCGATTCCATCAAATTGCATGACAAGAAATGAGAAAGTACTTTTCAGAATGCATATATGGTTCCATGGGAGAGTTACATCTTCATCTGCTAGATCAAGAGGCAAGCCCACTATGTAAACCAGATTTCTTTGAATCACTCTCACACTGCTAAGTTGTTTCCTTCCCTCGGAAGGTTTAGGCTTAGCCTTCTGCGACTTTTTGCGCTCCATGTTTACTTCCGCAGCCAACCTGGTACCATCAAGAAGAGAAGAAAAAGAGAGCAAGTTTAGGACCTTTTACAGAAAAAAGAGACTCATAGCCAGATTTCAACCTACCTCTCACTTTTAACTGTCATGCCTACAATCTTTTCTTTGTCATAAGGGGATCGGCATGCAGGACATCGACCCTCTGTTTCATCTTTCTCGGCCATCTCTATGATATGATGCCAACACCAAACACATATCTGCATCAAGGATAGATGTTGACGACAAATGCAACACATGGTTAATCGTCAAGGTACAAACCAAACATTGAAGAATTATGAAATGGTAATACTGGTCGATGTCAGCCCTAAATATAGCTTTAGCAAGGGTGCATTTGTAGCAAATACAAGATACTTCTTCAGACAGCATGCACCTAAAAACAATGTCTCAAAAATATGAATCGATAATTACGATAAACACAAGCAGGATACTTAACAACAACAAAAAAGCATGTCTCAATCTTGCATGCGCCTTCAGAATAAAACATTAAGACTAAAAATATAGAGACATTACTCCCATCATGCAGGCATGCATAGAGCATAGCAAACAGCATCAATAGGAACTCAGATTTTTTAGATCGTTTAATTTGGAAATTAAGAGAATGAGATAAATGAAATCATGAAGAAAATATTTTCTGATAGTAGCAACAAAAGGGCAAAGACCAAATTTATGCTACGATAGCCCGTGATGAAATCTTAAAATTAGAAGCTGTTTTCCCTTGATTACCAAGTACCCAATGCATACAGCTAGAATAATGACAAACACAAACAAAGAGGCAAAGTGGCAAACACTGCCTTCGACCTGATAGCCACATTTGCAAGGCTTCAGATGCTGATCAGTCAAGTCCATCTCCTCAGCACAGAGAGGACAAGTCCTTTCTCCTCCCTCACTCATGGTTGCCTACATAATAAGATACCACACATTCGAAGTTAGATTGGTAGAGCAGATTCCAAAATGTTCAACGAATGGTAGAAGATACTTCAATTAGTTGATGAACTGCAAAGATGAAACCACGTTAAGACTTTCGGGGAAAAGTTTAATCGGAAGCCAAGAGCTGCCAAACCAAAGCAAAGGTTTGCAGAAACCAAGGGCAAAAAGAATCTTAACCCGAAGAGAAAGAGCAAAACTTTAAGGCAACAACACCAAAGCAAAATCTTATTCAGTCTCAAACCAAACTTAAAATCTTAGATGCATCAAGCTTTTAAAGGTTTAATTTAAATGGTTAACTCCTGCCACTATGAATTTACTATAACATTAACATACACAGTGACCCAGTAACAAGCCTTCTGTCACCGATCATACCAAGAATTTTAATGCGAAATCAAACCTTTACAATTGATAGATTTGAAAACAGAAAAAAAAGGAATTTTATCAAAATTCAGATAATCTCCCATGAAATATTTTTCATACAAGAATTAAAAGAAAACGAAAAAGAAATGCCCAGACGTGAAAGGCCACAGAAAAGAATCCTGTCATTTAAAGCAAACCATAATCGGCTATCAAGAATTGGATCGAAATGCAAATCCCTTCAAAATCTAACTCTAAAAACCAAGACCGATCATCGATTTTGGGACTCTTTCCGCCCCTTCCAATTCGGTGGCTGAGAACCCTAATTCCCACATTAGGGTTCGAGATACAGACTCCGAAGACAAAGAGATAGACATAAAGACAGAGACGGAGATAGATACGGGGAGAAGAACACTAACAGTTTCGAAGAGAACAAGGTTGAAGGAAATGGGATTTGCAGAAACAACAGAGGAAGATCTTCGAAGAGACAAAACTGCTCGGATGGATGTTTCCTTTGGCTTACCTTTGCTGGTCCTTTTTTTTCCTCGTTAAATAATTTCTTCCCTCTTTAAAAAATTATTGTTTTCTATAATTCCCTCGATTTTGGACCTTATTTACGGATTCTGCCACTAAGTCTCACCGCTCT